TGTACTAAAACCAACTTTGCAATAGTACAATACATGATCTGTAAAAATAATTTAGTACTAGAAAGGTGCTACTTTTCTCTTGTCCAAACTATCCAAGTGTTCTTGAGATGGAGAATGAAACTGAAGACACAAAATATTCTAAAAACTATGAACATTTTTCACTATTCTACATCATACATGAAATAAATATTTAGGAAATATTTATTTTGTAGGAAAATGTACAAAAAGAAAGATCTTTGTTACCATATTGAGATAGCTACAATATGAGGTTCCTAAGGATGGTAATCTTTCTTTATTTTTATTTTTTTTTGTAGATTTTCAGAAGATGTTGGCTGGTTTTCAAGAAAGCTTCTAGTAAAGGGCCTAGAAGGTTAGAAAAATTTCCAGATGAGAAGGCAGCATATTTCAGAAATTTTCACAAGGTAAGTTGTAACTATATTAGGCAGAAAGGTGAACCACTTTTGACACATTTGAAGTGGAAGCAACACTTCTTGATGCCATTGATGTAGGTTCAGATTATGAAACATGCTTGCCTTCTTCCCATCCTTTCTGAAAGCATGCACAATTAATTAATGATAAAGTTTGTAATCTACTCTAACGGTAATTCAATATAAAGCTTAAACACAAAATATAAGTGCGTTTAAATGTCTGAAGCATTTTCTTAAGAGGTTAACAAAGCAGTTTAAGGATGTACATGGGACTGAAAAGGTTTTGAGAAAATGCATGTATAAAAGTACAATAGTTTAGACATTGGACACTTGCTATCCTACTTTCTGTCATTCAATAGATGGAAACTTTTCCTTCCATTTGTATATCAACAAAATAACTGTAATTCATTCACTATTTTATTTAGCTGCATTTACTTGTGTTTTCAAAATAATTATTCTAATATTTTTAATGTTGAGCTGCAGCAAGGTATTATACTGATTTTGAGCGAAAAATAGCAAATTTTAAAAATTATCTGATATAGCACCTCAGTAGAATTGAACAATTGCATATTTGAGTAGGCCTCTTATGAACTTGCTGCATATTAAACCAAACATATTAGTGAAAGTGCTAGACTATAATTTTTCTCTATTTCTATATGATAGATTGTTCAGAGACATGGTTCATGGAAGCTGAAAGTTGCCTAGCAAAAGCACTATCTGATCAACCGTTTAGGATAGAATGGATGAAATGCCCTCTTGGAATGAAGTAATGTTTTATGGTAATGACTTAGAAGAAGGTATTTTGCTTCTATGTACCACTGGTGACAACCGTATATATTCAAATAAACATACCATAGCTTAACATGTCAAGGAAAAATTAAGGATCTACATTCATGAACTACATTATCTTCAAATTTTTGCTGGCCTTTGGAAGTTCTTTGTAAGAATATTTGATAGCTATGCAAAAATGCTGTATTTTAGATGTTCAACTGTCATCTTCTTCTTAAAAACCTGCTGAACTTGAAGGACGTGAATTGTTTTTGACGAGGGCATATATGCCACTCCAATCAAAAAGTGACTCTAAGCAGCTTGTTACATGGCATTCCTTAAGGTCTTTCTTTAACCCCTTGCACTTGCTTGAGTTTTGGGGAAAAAAAAGTTGGTAGACTATTTCTTAAACTCTTTTATCACTCAGTTTTAATTCAGGAAGAACATACTTGAGATGAGATATTTCATCAAATCCCATTTTTAAAGGATAAAATAGCCCAGTAAATATTACCAGGAATTTGGTAAAGCTCCTTTCAATTGTTTATAAAATATGTTTCTTATTGTCTGGGACTACTGTCTGCTGGAACTGAAAAAGAGTCCAAATTATCTTCAAGGACAGCTATAGAGTAGCACTAATACATATGGCTCAATGGTAGAGCTTCCAAATCTTTTCTCAGCACAGTCAGATATTTGTTAATATTTAATTTATAAATTGTGTGAATACTTCATACCCTGATTAAAAGGAGGTGGTTGTTTCTCTAAGGGCTTTATTGGTGTTTTTGCTAAGTAATAATAAATTAAGGCCATGTTTTATTGAATCTTGTGTGCTGTTTTCTATGCCAGCAGATACATTTTTTAAAAATGAAGCATTGTTGTTGACAGCAATATCAAGCAATGCTGTTATGCTTGGTTGGCAAAGGTTTTATTCTGTGCCTGAGGTAGAAATAAAAATCCAGATCATTACCATGAAAAAATATGACAGATCTATTGTTTAGGGCTTTTTCCTGGCATTGTGCCCACTACGGTCTACTCAATTTGTTTAGTAGCTGGCAACCACTCTGTGCCATTAGAGTCTTTGTTTGGCTGCCTGCCACTTTGGCCTTTTTGGTAGGCCCTTCCTCTTGGAGCAATTTGGTAGGTCTTACTCTCAGGGGCCTCTTAGAAGACCACACCATCTTACTTAGTCTGCTGTAGGGCCTCTTCAATGGGCATTCCACTGCCCCATTTGCAACTTCAGGAATTCTTCCTAGGATTCATCTGCTGGACTGCTTCTGCCCTGCCACTGGGTGTCCATGAAAGAGCCTCTTCAAAGGCCTATTGCCACTGGACTGCCCCAGAACTGCTGCTTCACTCCTCTGGGACTCTTCCTCACTTTCACACTGCTGTATCTGTTTTTGCTGCAGCTGTTGTAGCTTCAGGCACAAGTAGCCAGCTGTTGTTTTCCTTTTGGCTTTAGATACTCAACTAAAGGAGCTCAAAGGAAAAAAAAAACCTTTCCAGATCTCTTAATAAGAAACTTCAGGGTGTCACTCCAGCCAGCTTCAAACTGCAAGAAAACTCTCCCTGTGCCTTTCTCACCTGGGTTGTTTTTTGTTTTTTGTCTCTCTTACATCTCTCAATTATAGTCACACCCACAACTGGGCTCTACATTTCTGCTTTTATTTACACAGCTTCATCAGCATAAACAGGTGGAATTATTTAAAAGCAACAGGGAAGGGAGGAAGTTGAGAAGCATTCCTCTCCATGCTCAGCAAGATTCCTTCCTTCCACACAGCCCTAACTCCTGTACCCATAGAATCTTTTATAATTCCTTTAATTTTCTCACTTTGGGATTGTTAAAGGGTGAGCATATGACTGAAAATGGAGCTGTCACCAGCATTCTGGACTGTGCCCAATTGCTTCATCTATAGAGGATTCTTTTCTAGAATGGTTTTAGCTACTGCCTGATTTGACCTATTTTCAAATGTCAAACCTTCTTTTGCTGGCTTCTTTCTTCATATCAGATTTTATGGAATGAATGAATGAATGAATGAATGAATGGATGGATGGATGGATGGAAGAAAGAAAGAAAGAAAAAGAAAGAAAGAAAGAAAGAAAGAAAGAAAGAAAGAAAGAAAGAAAGAAAGAAAGAAAGAAAGAAAGAAAGAAAGAAAGAAAGAAAGAAAGAAA